ACCATTTTGTTTAGTTCGCTTGGTTTGGTATCTTCCTTTTTTTCTAAAAAAAAATATGAAATATTGCGTTTAAATTTTGTGGACGAGAAGGAAAATGAAAACTAGATCTTTATTTCAATCAATCCATTGCCATGTAGGTCAAATCCAATTTCTCAGGATTCAATAAACTCTATAAATAGATAAACTCGTTTTAAGCAATGACCTGGATTCAAATCTTGTTGATTTCTTGTGTTGTTGATTTATTTTCACCACTAACAAGATGCTAATTATGTGCTGAATAACTGAATTCTAAAATCTTTCTACACTGATTCTTCATTCCTACTATCATAATTCATAAGGGCAAACTCTTTTTTCACACTTAATATACTAAATAAATAAATCCACCAAATTAATGATTATATAATTGTATGTATTTATATGTATATTGCATATTTTTTCAACTAAATAATCATTTATTAAAATAATCAAACATATAATAAACTAATAATTAAAATTATGTATAATAATATAATAAAAGTTTCAAATGACATTTATCCACTTTTCATAATATAGATTTCATGTTCGAGCTTTTTTTCCAACATATTTTTAGTAAAAAAAATATAATATAATAAAAAATTTATGAAATGAAAAATATAGGAACATCTAATTATTAATCTTTATCTATAAATGATTAAAAATATTAAAATAATATTTTTTTAATGATAATATTATATGTATCACTGTATATTTTTGTATATTAATTAATAATACAAAAAAATATAAGCAGAACACGTAAATTATTATTATTTTTTTACTAAAGATATGTTAAGAGATGCTCAATCTCAAAAAATCTATTTAAAAAAAAAAGATAAATGTGATTTTAGCTACGGAATAGATATGTTATGCATATAATTGACAAATAATATACAGATTACGTGCAATGGGCATGAGAACATGAACATATGGAATAGTGATACATTATGAATGTGGAGGTATAAAGTATCCGTAGTATCAGCAAACAAGTATCTGTCCAAATCCCATTGGCTTAGCTTCTTGTGATTCTAATTGTATCATTCTTGAGTGGAAAGTGGAGGGGCAATGTAACCAAAAAAGAAAATACGCTCTCACACTCGTATATAAACACTGTCACACAAACGAACACACATCACAGCCAAACAACACGTTATTACGAATTCACATTGGAACACGCGGGTTGCGGAGAAGAACTATCTTTTATTAAAATCTCAAATAATTCAAAATTCATAAATAAATTCTTTCGGTGGATTCATTATTGATGCATTCGTAACGGATTGCCAATTCAATTCCACGTTCTCTTCTTCTTCTCCTTCTCCTTCTTCTTCTTCTTCTTCTTCTTCTTCTTCTAGCTACCATTACCAACTTGTTTCCGAAGGTACGTATCTTCTTAATCGTATTTCTTCACTGTCACTCACTGATCTGATTCCAGAACTGCAGTTACCTTCCTTGCCACGGATCTTTTTTCAATTCAGTTACTGCTTTTCATATTATGATTCATGATTTGTGTGGTTTCACTTTGAATTGTGTATGATCCTGTTTGATTCCTTAATTACGTGTTTTATTCGGTTAAGAAGATGTGTAATATGCGGCTTTATTTTTTGAACATGATGATAGATCGATAGCTGAAGGTGAATAGTTTATAGAGAGGAGTTGCATCTGTTTCGTGGTATATTGAAGTGATTGATATATGGAGGCAACCAGGGACAATGTTACTGGGCTTATTCTGGCCGTTTCTTCAAGCGTTTTCATTGGTTCCAGCTTCATAATCAAGAAGATGGGGCTCAGAAAAGCAGCCACTACAGGGAAAAGAGCAGGTTCATATAGATCTCATCATTTTTCCCTATTTTTTTCTTCTGTTGAAATTTTCATTTCATGCTTTCATCTCTGTTAAATTGCCTGTTGTCTGTTCACTATACTCTCTAAGTTGTATTTTTTTTATTATTTACTTTTTTAATCTGTCACTCTCGCTATTTATTATCTCATTAGATCAATATATCTGATATCATTGTAATTGATTTGGTTTGGTCAGCCACGGGAGGGCATTCATACCTACTTGAACCGTTTTGGTGGATTGGAATGATCTCAAGTAAGTGATTTTTTCCTCAGTGTGCTTCCTTTACTGTATTGAAAAATGAAAATTGAAACCCAGTACAACCCTGCCTAGTTTTATTGTCACATTCCTCATCTACAAGTTGTGTTTGCATGTTGTGATGCATTACTCGATGATGATGATGATTTTCATCTTCCTTTGTTCTTCATAAGCATTTCAAGTAGTTGAAACATTTTTAATTTAAAAGGAAATACATTGTTGGACTTTTTCTTTAAGCAATTGCAAGGGAATTGGAAAAGGTGTGTGTTACAATGACACTTCCCCTTTTTACTCTCAAAAGCAAGAGGGAAAAGCATAATGGGCACATGTGAAATTTTCCAGTGTCACAAAAGAATAAAGTGTCTTTGCTGAAGTGATCACCACTGTCATAGATCACTTACAAGAATCTATCCTTTTCTAGATATATACTTAGCTGAGGCCTTTTAAAGAGAAAATTTCCCATCTTAACTCTCAAGTGTGCCACTAATCTCAGGGAATTTTTTCAACTAATTCTGTATCCATGTCTAAATTTTTGCAGTGATAGTTGGGGAAATAGCCAATTTCGCTGCTTATGCATTTGCACCTGCTTTGCTTGTAACACCTTTAGGAGCCTTAAGCATCATTTTCAGGTAAGAGACGTGGTATTCTTCACAGAATAACTTTTTAGGGTATATGAGGCATATTTTTACTTCAACAGTAAAATGTGGATGCTGGAAACAGTTACCAACTCATATTATGATGCAGTGCAGTGCTAGCTCACTTTATCTTGAAAGAGAGATTGCACATCTTTGGTGTGCTTGGATGTGCTCTTTGTGTAGTTGGATCTACAACTATCGTTTTGCATGCTCCACATGAAAGAATCATTCACTCTGTCACGGAAGTTTGGGAGCTTGCTACAGAACCCGGTATGCTTTCACCCATGATTTCTTTGTTTCAACTTGTTCCTGGCAAGCATTCATAAATGTGTAGCTAACATTGATTCACCCCGCCCCTTCTCTCATGAACAGGTTTTATTTTGTACACTTGTGCTATGGTGATTTTGGTTGGTTTTCTCATTGTCTACTGTGTTCCACGCTATGGACAGACCCATATGATCGTATATATTGGAATATGTTCTTTCACAGGCTCAATTACGGTACTGACTATCTTCAGCTCTCATGAGTCATTGTTGACCATAGACTTAAAAATGGTCGAAATTAATGGTGTTCCTTTGTTGTTGCATACTATAGGTTATGGCCGTGAAAGCAGTAGGAATAGCTCTGAAGCTTACATTTGAAGGCACAAATCAATTCAAGTACTTTCAGACCTGGTTTTTTACGATGGTCGTGATAGGATGTTGTCTTTTACAGATTAACTACTTGAACAAGGTAATCTTAGGAATGATATCTATCAGTGCTGAAATAT